ACGAGGTCTGTATCTGATTCCTGTATATTGTTTATATTAGTGGAAGTCGTTTCAATTTTGTTAACGTATTGTAATTTCAGATTTTCCGTTTCTTCTAGTTTCATCGTGATTTCTGCTTGTTCTAGTTTGTCTACTAGTTTTCTAAAATCTAAATCGGGTTCTCGAATTGAAGAAGGATGGGATGCTCTCTTTTTTATTGCTATTTTCCTTAATTGTGGTGTTAAGGTCATCATTAAGATTTCTGTCATCTTTGTGTTTTTATAGTCGTGTGTATTTAGTGAATATGCTTTTCGAACTAGTGTTTCGATTCTTACTGCTAACTGTTTGATGGTTTCGTTTGGTAATCTGCGAATTTCATTACATAAAACTCTTTGTTGTTGTTTGTTTCTTTCAGAGTCAAACATTTTTGAAAATTCTTGTGTAAATCTTTTCCAGTTTGATTTTATTTCTAGAGGTAGTACTGAAAACCATTTTTGGGCTGCGCCATCTAAGGTTGTTTGTATTAACGCTGTGCGTCGATGTATCCAGTTTTGATGTAGTGGTGTATTAATTGGTTCAGGTCCAATGTTTAAAATCAGAGTATTCAGGGTCTGTTCCTGTGAAAACCATTAAAGGTTTGTTTGATGTTATTGATGATCCACCCATTAGGTATGGATTCATTGTCATTTGTAATGATTCTGCTGCATTTGGCATTTGAGAAAAATTTGAAAGTTGGTTTCTTGTTATTTCATGTTGTTGGAGATAATATGGGAGTGGTATTTCATTTTGCATTTGTGATGCTTGATACGAGTGTGCAGTCATTGGATTTTGTTGTTGAATTGGTTGAAAAGATTGTGTATTAATTAGATTTTGTTGTTGAATTGGTTGTTGATGTTGTGCATCTATTGGTTGTGGAGAAAAATTTCTATGATTTGTACGTGTTCTCTGTATTCCTTGTCTACGATATTCTTGAGTATTTGGTGCAAATATATCTGGTTGTAAGAAATCATCATCTGAGGATAAATAATCCATTTGATAAGATGTTTGTTTTTTATTTTTATTTTGTTGAAAAAATGGGTAATTTTCACTGCGATCCTGTGGAGGATTTGGTTGAAAATTTTTGGAATTATATTGGGCCGTTGGGTTATCCCAGTTTCGGGGTTTTGTATATTGATTAAAATTCCTTTGTGTTTGATAATTTGTTTTTGACGGATGTGTATAATTATAATTATGGTCTGCAAAGTTGTTTCTAGTGAATGTTTTGCGTGTTTTTGATGGTATTGTCATGGGTCTGTATGTTTGGTAATCCATATGTGAATATTTTGGAGCAACCGAAGGTTTAACGGTTGATTGTAAGGTTACTTGTGTTTGTGAAGGATTTGTATTTCTTGGTGTTGTTAAATTCGGGCGTATTGGTGAAATACTTTGTTGTGTAGTTGTTGTGTGTACAATTTCTTCTCTTATGAAGTGTGATGGTGTCTGTATATCTTGTTGAGTAAGATTCCTAGTTCCATTGAGGTTTTCGTTGTGTATAACTGTAGAGTTTAAACTATTATTTTGTGTATCGGGTAAAAATGTATTATAATTTAATGGTGTTGCATCAATTGTTAATGGTATCACTCTTACATAATCTCTTATGTAAGATATTGTACCTATTGCTTGACTTGAGATTGATTGTGGAAAGTTTATAAATGCGGGATGAGACCATTCGGGGTCCCAAACATAATCTGATTGTTCTGTGATAGCGGTATCATCGTTCGAATTTTGGGGTCTAAAATTTTTTCTTGCTTGTGCAATTAAATCAATATTGTGTGTGAAATAATCTATTATGAACCATGCCAAAATTTTTTGTAAATCGTGTTTGGTATGTTGTGAAACGTCGTCTTTCGTGAAATTTTCTTTAATGATGTTTAAATAACTAGAGAGTAGTGTGATTTCATGTCGTACTCTTAAATGTTTAGATGTTTCTGTCGGTGAGACATTTGTTAATGGGAGTTCATTTTCTAATATCGAAATATAACTATATATTATTGCGAAAACTTCATTGGTGAAAATGGAGTTTGCTCTTTGTGAGTTATGGTATTGGATGCTTTTTATATATTCTGAAAAAACTTTTGAAAATTCTAAGTCAAGATCGTCTGTTTGAATAGTATATGTTCTATTATTGTGGTTTGGGGAAGTGAATTCTATAGAGTAGATTCCATACTGTTGTGTTATGTTGCATATATCTTTTAGATAGTGATCTATGATTTGTCTTTTGACTTTTACATCGGGGAACTCTGTTTTACATGGACTGATTCCGGGTTCAAATAAATTTACGAGTAAATTTTGACAAAATATGTGTTGTCCTCTATCAGTATCTGCATCTACTATAAAGGGAAAGATTTCATCATCATCTGGAGTTTCGTCACCTGGGGTGTGCGTTGAACTCATTTTTCCGTTCGATGACTGTTAATATGTAATTATTAATGTGTCGAATTGGTTGATTCCAATTGTATAGATGTACTGGTTTGTGTTTATACTGCTTTTTTGTTCTTCTTTTTCCTCTTTGTGATGAATTTGAAGTTGTTTCTGAGTCAGAAAAATATAATTGATCGTGAAGTGGGCAATTTTTATCTATTGATTCTTTTAGTTTGTAAAGTTCGTCTAAACTGTTGGTTTCTGATTCTGAAAATGCGTTTCGATTTTTTGAAAATCTTTTTCGTGTTATTTGTCTTTGTTTAGTTATTATTTTTCTGTTTAGTGTTTGTCGTTTTGTGCGGATGTATCCAACTGTTTGTGTATGAGGTGTGATTACAAGGTCGTATTTTTTGTTATCTATTTCACAATTGTGTAAAACGATTGTTTGTTTATTTCCTAGGTTTTTAAATGACATAAGGTTTAGGATGACGGATGCAAAAAGTTGTTAAGTGAATTCTAATTACTTAAACTGTTAGTCCTTACGATTTTTTGGTTAGCTTAACCTGGGTCTATTTGTTCAGGGTTGGAGAGAAAAGTATATCGATTCCGAAGAATGATTTTTACTTTCTCGTGACTAGTATAAGCTAAGGTGTTAACTTACTTAATCTTACTTAGGGGTAGTGATTGTGTTCAAGGGTTGGAGAATAGTAAATCGATCCACAAGGTTCAGGTATAATTAGAACGCGAGTAGTTCGTTAGATACTATTTTAAACTTACTAAGTCTAAGATTTATCCTGGGTCTGGTAAGAGGGGGGGTCAAGTGAAGGATGAATAACCGAAGTTCTTCACTGTTTATCCTAATTTGAATGATTAGTTGTGTTTAAAAATTTCTATTAGTCCTGGGTTTTTAGAAAGGGTTGGATAGTGAATCGACGTTTGAGGTCGTTAGACACTAATTAAGTGGGTGGGGGAGAACAAAGTTGTTCTGTTTGATCCAAGGATAAGCCTTGATGATCAAGTTTGAAATTTAATTAAGTAGAAAATGATTTAAGATCCAAGGATAAGCCTTGATGATCTGGTTTTAAATTAAGTGACTTTAAGTTTTAATAAAGTTTTAAATTTGTGTAAAGGAAAGATTTAGTGTTTTATGATGTTAGTGAGTTGATGATTGCTGTTATGTTTTAGGTGATGAAGCTGGAACAACAGGATGATTTATGATTACTAACCATTTATTGTCATGCTACTAATTTTTATTTTTATTTTCCAATAAATATTTTTCAAACATGTTTTGTATAATACTGCAGAGTTTTAGGAAAACGATCTTAGATCTTTTTATCAATCGTTATTGTATATTAATAATTTTGTTTAGCGCCTGAAATGATTCTGAAGAGTAACTTCAAGGTTTTATGTTTGCAAATGGAAATCTAAATTCATTGCAAGTAATATTCGAAATATAAAAGTTTGTTCTGGCTTTTGCCGAACTATCATATAACTATACGGCAAGTTTCTACTTTGTCGTATGTCGTCTTTGGTTCGAGGTCTTCTTCCAATTCCGGGTAGTTCTGTTATGGTTCGGAATATTGGCTCTGATCTATCGAGTCGGAGAGACATTTCAATTAAATTATTGTCGTATAACATTTTGTAAATGTTTTTGTCTAATTTCTAATCTATTTTGGTTAATTCTAATCTAGTAAGGTCTTGTTCGAGACTTATGGTCGCACCAGATGAGTTAGGACTTGGGTGTATAACTCATAGAGTAATTTCGGATAGGGTACACCGTCTGCTCGTCACGCTATCTTATTTTCGGCCGGATAGATTCGTGCAACTTCTTAGTCTAATACCGATCCTAATCTTACTCTTATACTATCTAGTCTCAGGTTGTTTAACTAGTCTCTGCTAGGCTCAATAGATCTAGGGTATACTGGTTTATTGCGGCTGCTGAAGTGCTCGGGAGAGTCCAACTAATTTCTAAGTTAAATTCAAATCTCTCTGGTGCTGAAATTACAAGTAACTTCAGCACTTACAAATAAGTGGGTTGTTAGTTAGATGGATCATGATTGGTTAATATTAAATACTTTACATTGGTAAAACATTTAATTTATCCAATCATAAAATATAGTTTAGATCAGGTTCCAAAATGTATTTCATCAAGGATGTTTGAAACAGCAAATATTACATCCGAGGGATCGCACAAACTCATCTATTTAAATAAGGCCCTTCAAAAATCCAGCGGCAAAAGTTTTGGCATACATTATATGTTTTGAAATCTGTTAGCGATAATTTCGGAAAAAGTGGATGTTTTGTACCCTGGCTGATCTAGAATTTTTTCGAAGAAGAATTTAAAAAAAATTGAAAACTGTATCGACCTTTTTTAAGCTCAACCAAATTGATATCCAAGCACCCCCAAATCAAAATGAAGACACTATTTTAGCCAAATTTTCTGCACTGCACGCGAATTTTGAAAAACAGGGGAAGCGTTTTTAGGCACTTTTTGGATGATAATTGCGTTTTTTGGCGCGCGGTCCCATTTAACATTAGTATATTTTGGCGCCATTTGAGTTTTTAGGGCCGGTCAGCAAGAGAAGATGTCCTCTTGTAGTATTAAAAGGGGGAACTTTTAGGGAAAGGAGTCCTGACCATCAAATCCGCTTCTGGCCTTGTAGCTGAAAACGAAAGCTGGGAAAGTTAGTTTTTCTAACAAATAAGAAATTATTATTAGAAATATTTTTTTACCACAAACCAAACCCAGTCATAAAAAAGTACCTCCGACCCTATTAATTCTTTCGACTTAGCATAACTGTTTTCGACTCGGTGCACAGGTGGCTACGTGAATGCGAGCTACATCTCAGGAGAGAACAGTGACCAGGAGTACATTGCCAGCCAGGGTCCCCTCCCCCACACTGTGGACGATTTCTGGCAGATGATATGGGAAAAGTAAGCTCAACAATTTTCTCAACTGACGCAAAAACTTAGTATTACAATAGAAGTTCTTTCGAAGACCGTCTCTCGAAACAGAACTGAAGTATTCATTTTTGTACTTATTCTAATGATGACGTCATTGCCTGTTGATATTTGTGTGGTAGTATATATATATGTGTGTGTTGTTAGGGATGTGGTGAAGGTGGTGATGTTGTGTCAGTGCCAGGAGATGAAGAAGGGGGTGATGAGGGATGCCTGTTTCCCCTACTGGCCCAATGAGATGAGTGAGGCTCAGTGGAGGGGAAACCTGCAGATCAAACTCATCGATATACAGGTAAATAGGATAGGACACAATAAACCAGGGTTGGCATAAAGGGCGGGGGCTACTCCTTTTTTCAAGGATTCGACACCCTGAACACCCTTGGTAATTTCTAACAACACTCATTTTTAGTTGACCACCCCCAAAGTTTTTGTTAGAGTGCCTTGGGCGCCGAACTAAAAAAAACGTAAACTTGAGAAACGGAAGGGGGGTTCCAGAGTTGGTTATTTGGAGCGGCGTTTAAAAAACTTTTTTTAAACATTCCAGACAGTGTCTAAAACGTCATTTTTGGCCTGTTTTGTAGCAGTATTATCTATTTTGTAGCAGTATTATCCTTTGGAGCAGTATTATCTACCGGGTCCAGTTGGTAGAGTAGATTGAATTTGATGCAGAAAAAAAACTTTCAAAACGTGTCATTTCACTGCTAATATGAAAGTTGAACTTTAACAGCAATGATTAACAGCAAACATAAAAATTAACAACCACAAAACGGTTTTTGTAAACCATTTGAAATCGGTTTTATATCTCATGAGTTTAAGATCTCGTTCATAATTATAATATAAAAATAGCAATAAAAATTGAGCCATTAGGCCCTCGTTGAGCTAAAAGTTGAGCCAATAGTCTACTTCTACAAACAATCTACATTTTACCTTAAGCCGCTTAAAGCAATTGGTTTTATATAACAATTTATTTCACAAATTCAAATATAAACATGCAGTTTTTTTGAAAAATTCAATCTGAAAAATGTCTTTTCTTTATTGCTCCTCTCGAGATAATTCTACATCCAACGTTGCTATAAGCACAGTATTAGATCTAACCCTGCTGACTTAGATGACGCATGCAGTTAAAATATCAGATCGATTAACAAAGTTCAAAACATTCGGATACACAGAGTTCAATAGAAATAGCATAAAACAGGGGGGAAATGACGATTTTAATCACATTCCGAACCTATTAAACTTTTTGTAGAATTTCTTTGTTGCTACGCTGCTGTCATTTGCTTTTTTTCAAACATATGTTTTTGCGACTTTTAGACAATTAAAATACTGTAGCAAAAACAGCAATTACAAACTTGAACAAGACTCCTCGTGTCAGGGCGAAGCCCTGAATAATCCGACTGCCTTTTAAGGTTTATGGAGCTGTAATAACATAGAAAATTTAAATGAAATATAATATAATGAAATTTTTTTTTCTGAAATTTGGAAATTTTTATGAAAATCATCCCCCAACACGCCATATTAAGTACAAAAGGATAGATTTCGTTCCTTGTAACAAATCAATTATTGCAAATAAGCTTCGTTCAACCAATTTGGAACAATTTCTAAGACGGATTAAATCTCCGCTTACGCGTTGATAGCGCGAATTATTATATCGCGCGTTAATTGTCCCAAATTTGTCAAAATGTCCAAAATGGCAATCCTTAAACCCTCATAACTTTACGAAAAATGATCACAGGTAAAATATCTTTTCAAATTTAAGCTCAGTACAACATATATGTATATATATTTATATATATATATATATATATATATATATATATATATATGTGTGTGTGTGTGTGTGTGTGTGTGTGTGTGTGTGTGTGTATATATTTCACCTGAGATTATTTTTTGTAAAAATATTGGGGTTTATTGATTTCCAATTTGGGACAATTAACGCGCGCTATACTTCGCGCCGCTAATAGCGCGTAAGCGGAGATTTAATCCGTCTGAGAAATCATTCCAAATTGAAGTGAAGCGTTTTTTAAAATCTTTTCAATACTATGCATTTTGCAAACATTTTTACTTTGTAATTTACAAAGCGTGAGGGGAATGTTCCTCAAAAAATGTCATGAAAACTTAAAAAAAAAATTATCCATTTTTTTAGCGAACACTACTCCATCGACCTTCAATATTTTCGCTCTGTTACGAGCAGTCTTGGAAAGAACCATAAATTCTAGTGAATACCCTGTTTAAGTCAGAGGTGACTGTGTTTGTATCAAAGTTGGATCTAAAATTATCTCTAGAGGGGAAGCTGAAAAAAGTGGGTATTTTTATAGAACTTTCTTAAGGTAAAAAAAACTGTTTTCCAACCTCTCCAAATAATATAACATATGGGGGCTTTATGGGACACTCAATATGAAAATGCTTTGTAGGCGACGCCCTTTTGGATCAGACGCACATTCACCATTCGCCCTGGAGACCCAGCGGGTTACGTGTCCCAAGAGGAGTTCCCGTCTGGCAGAAACATAGTCCAGTACCACTTCAAGCGCTGGGAGGACGAAATGACCCCTCTGTGGTCCGAGTTCGAACCCTTCGTGACCGTGATTAGGAAGGAGAACCCATACCAGTACCCTGTGCTCGTGCACTGCAGTGCGGGTGTGGGAAGGACTGGGAGTTTTATCGCGGTGGACCGTCTGATGCAACAAAAGACGTACAAAAATGAATTCGACATCAGAGGTATTCTAGATTCTCTTCGTGCAAAAACTCGGTTTTTTCTGGGGTCTTTACATTCCGGTCTGAGTAAAAAAATTAAAGCCCACCAAACCCCCCTCCCCAGGCAGACGCACTCCGATTTTACTGTTTTGCGCGGAGCTATAATAGGAATAAAGACTCCCTCTCTGTTATGCTGGGCTCAAAATTACAAAAAAAAAACGTTGAAAACCATTTATTTTCTGATTAATCAATTTAAATTAATCTGATTCAAGCGAAATGATCCAATTTTCAAAAAAAAGAAACTTTGGGCAATTTTACAGAAAAAAAAACAAAAGTCCGTTGGTCGATCAACCCCAACTTGGCAGTAAATTTCTAACTAATTAGATTTTTTTAATTGGTCAATTTCAATGATTTTTTTTCGGGTTTTTGAATAACGAAATCTGTCTTGTGGAGTTCTCCCATTGTAGAGCTAAAATGTCGTTTAAAGAGGTTTCAAAATGAAAGAACAAACTTTTTGAGTGAGTTGTATCTATCAGACTCGTAGGAACGACAGATACTATAGGTGGTACATCGTAGCAATAAATGAAAGCCGCCATTGCTAGTTTTTCTTCCCAGCTTCCAATCAGATATTTTCTGTAAGTTTCAAAATCGACAGAAAATTGAGCTAACCTTAGATCGGTTTTGAGTACTTCTTTCTAAAATTTCTGCCAAAGTCTGATATCAATTGTCGTCAGAAGCCTTTTTCAATGAAACGTTGACTATATTTTTTGAATATTTTTCTATCGAGCTGTTTTCTAGCACGCTCCAAATTGGGCGCAATTTTAAATTGTTGTCGATTCTTAGCTTTTTTTCAGAAATCGGAGTCAGTCTAACAGACATTGGAACCCTATGTTATAAGACTCCATAAAAAAATCCTCTAAAACCACCAATTGCTAGTTTTTCCATGGAACATCATATAAATTGAAATTTTTAGGCATGGTGGCTGAGATGAGAACCATGCGCCCATTAATGGTCCAAACTGTGGAACAGTACCGATTCGTGCACGAAGTGGCCTTGAGACTGGCTGAGGAGGTTCAAAATGTCATGCCCAATGGACCCTCCACTCCCCTAATTGCCCCTACCCCAATTGGGTTTGAGACTATCGAATTGACAGACCAGAGCAGCGAGCATAATGCGGATGTGCCATCAAATACAGTTGAAATTGGGGAAACTATTCTAAGCATCTAGAAGACAAAAGTCACCGTGAACAAAACAAATAGAACCAATAAAACATCCCACGTTTCTATCTTACATGTACACAATCACATCGCTTTTAAAACTGTCGACCAAACTCACAAAAACTGGCTAAAACTTAAGAACGCACATAATGTAAATAACACAAATATGACGACAGTTTAAAAAATTATGACTCAAAAATAAGTTGAGCAGATTGTTTTCATCGACTGGTACCAAAAATATAGATATCAATTACACGTCATACATTTTAAAAACGGTTCAACTTAGTTCTAAAAGAGTCAAAAGCTACCTATTTTTTCGATTTTTTTTATAATGAATAAATGTGAATATTGTAAATAGTCAACTCTCATCTGTCAAAATTACAGCTTCAATTCTTAAATTTATATGGAATATATTGTTTGAAAAAAAAAATTTTTCCATACAAAATGGTGATACTAATACTAAAGGGTAATCGAATTATCAATGGAAAGTAAAAAGCTAAAATATAGATCATTTAATTCTGTATGGCGTGCGCGGGAACGCCATATTTGTTTAAAGTATAACTTCTGATTTGCTCTAGCGTCCAACTGAAATGGACATCTTCGATGGTTTTTGCAAAGCTGCGACCCGGAGAATGATCAGCTCATAAGTTTTTTTCAGAATGAATTAGTTATTGATCTTGTTAATGTTAAATTCACATGGCTCTATATTAGTATCGTTTGTTCTTGTTTTTGAATCACTAAGTCTGAATTCCAAGAGTCAATTTCAGTTCTTTTCTGAAGTCCAAGTTGAAAACTGCGTAGATGAAAGGGTTCAGAGCACTGTTCGTGTAGCCTAGCCAGTCAATGGCCACACGCATGTAGGGGTGGGGCTCACACTTGTCCCCACAGAAAGGTACGATTAAAGCTAGTATGAAGAAGGGCAGCCAGCACACCACGAACGTACTTCAGAGCAAAGGGGCCATATATTAGAATAGATGGCATATGTAGTCTACTTCAATTGAAGAATTTTTAAAGCGTTCAAAATGTTTAGTTCAATTTGTGACAGAAGAGCCGAAAAAAGTCTAAGATAAAAAATACAAAGCAAAATTTTGACTAATTTATTCGAATATTTTTTTCTTGTGGTCGAAAAACTAGTTTTTGCATGAGAAAAAAATCTTACCAGGTTTTAAAATGTTTTCACTAAAAAATAGCTTGCAACGTGAAAAGACGTGAACAGTTTTAAATAAAGACTTAAACTTTAATTTTTTTGTTCTCCTATTTATTGTTATGGGCTGCATAAATTGAAAACAATAATGTGCTGAAATTTACACCTCCACATCAGAATGTGTGTACCACCTATTTTGATATATGACCTTAGAATGACGAAAACAGTGGTGATGGCTCTGATTTCTCTTCGCTGTTGTTTCTGTCTCTTGCGAAGCTCCACTTGAAGACAGATCTGAGTTTGGAGTCCTGCGTTGAGGTATTGAGACGTCATCCGATTCTTCCGATTGTACCTAAAATTGACAAATTAGTTATAAGTAATAAGATTGTAATGAAAATTTTTAAATTGACGGTCTTGCGTTTGAGGTAATGCGAGATTTCCCGTTTTGACTACAGTACATCAAGAGAAAGACGTGTAGGCCATAATGTATATATGATAAAGGGAGCGGCCGTTGTAGTGGCCATGGTACTACTGCCTTCCATTCTAAAGATCGGTATACCCAGCACTATCTTGAACCGTGGTCATTCCTTGATATACTATACCTCAGCTCAGAAAAAAAACTAAAATGTTGATCATATCCTCTCTGGATAAGTGTCGTTAGAAGGTTCCATGTGGAAAGCATTAACCAGGTAAAGAACACCCCTTGCTGCTTATGAGTGCCTTTATCCATATCGTAAGTTTGTTCATCGCGAGGCCAAACTGTACACTGGATAGGCGCGCAATTTTGTGTCTGTATGTTCCTGGATTCCAGAGACAAGTATTTAAAAATATTAAAATTTTGTCTGAACAATCAAAAGAAATTAAAGAACAAAAGAAGAACAAGAGAGCGTCCTTGCTGTGGATCCGCTTACAATTCACAAAATGCACAATTTGGCCTCTAAATGTTGGAAACTTTTTTTAAAAAAAGTTTATGTACCTAATAAATCTAGAATAATAATAATCATCATAGATTGTTTCCAACCTAAGGTTACCATAATAGTCAAACGGTTCTTTAATTACTCCTGTACAAAGTTATAGATTGGGAGGACACCATTAGGCTGCAAGAGCCTGTTTTCATGCGCCGCAAGCCATTTATTAAAATTACCAGGTTGACAAAAAATGCTTGTCATACTATTTCATATTATGAAAAAATGCTTATCATACTATTTCATAGACCAAAAAAAATACTATGAAAATGATAACCATTTTTTTCATACTATGCATACTATGAATAATTTTTTTCTTAACTCATGTAAAATCATCCAAAAAATCGTTAAATTATTTTTGAAGATTTTATTTTTTTCTATAGCAAAATGCTTATCATACATTTTGCATTTATGAAAATATTGTGATAAGCATTTTTTATCAAAATTAAAATCATGTTTTTGAGAATCAGCACGACTTCTTTCAATGAATATACTTTTTAAACTAACTAAAAATTAGCCAGAAATCTTTTTTTTTAATGATTTGTGAGGATTTTATTTCTTCTATCGCAAAATGCTTATCATACAATTTCCATGCATGAAAACTGTGTGACAAGCATTTTTTTTATCAAAAAATAAAAATTAATTTTTTATTGAGCAGAAAGATTCAAAATAGGGAAATAGAACAGAAGTATTTCTCTAAAGACGTTTAATACAGTTTTTAAATTTTGTATGAAAATTGTAAAATAAGCATTTTTCCCATAGTCGCCATATATGAATTTGCATGACAAGCATTTCTCTTTTACGGACGTCAACCCGGGTATATAACCCCCCACGAAACTCAAGTTAGGGTTTATTTTCGTTGTTTATCATTAACGTCTCGCCTTGAGGGAGCCTTTAAAATTTTTAGTTGCTACTAAAACTAACTTGACCGTGGTCGAGTTATTTTGGTGCACTTTTGCGCTTACTACCACGCTAAAAAGAATCTGATTTGCCATAATTGGTTTGTTACAAGGAGCAAAATTTATCCTTTTGTACTTTATATGGCGTGTGGGGAGATGATTTTAAAAATCAAATTTTAGAAGAAAAAAATTTCATTTTATTTTATTTGAAAATTATTATTTTTTTAAATGTTATTACTGCTCCATAAATCCTAAAAAGCAGTCGGAACATTCAGGGCTTTGCCCTGATACGAACAGTCTTGTTGTTCCCACTTTCGATACGAAAGTAACGGAATATTTGTTCTCGGGGTGGGTTTTTTATTCTTCAGACAAATTTCGACTTTTAACTAACCATTTTTGACGGAATCTTTTATCATTCAAGTGGTATTGTTGTCCTGAGCTTAAATTTGAAAAATATTTTACCTGTGGTCAATTTTTGTAAAGTTATGAGGGTTTAAAGATTGCCATTTTAGCCATTTTGACCAATTTGGGACAATTAACGCGCGATATAATTCGAGCTTTTAACGCGTAATCGGAGATTTAATCCGTCTTATAGATCGTTCCAAATTGGTTGAAAGAAACTTTTTCGCCATAATTGATTTGTTACAAGGAGCAAAAACTATCCTTTTGTTCCAACTTTCGATACGAAAGTAACGGAATATTTGTGCTCGGGGTGGGTTTTATTTACTTCAGACATATTTCGAATTTTAACTAGCCATTTTTGACGGAATTTTTTTATCATTCAAAAGGTAATGTTGTCCTGAGCTTAAATTTAAAAAAATATTTCATCTGCGACCATTTTTTGTAAAGTTATGGGGGTTTAAAGATTGCCATCAATTTGGGACAATTAACGCGCGATATATTTTGCGCTAATAACGCCTAAGCGGAAATTTAACCCGTCTTATAAATCGTCCCAAAATTAGTTGAAAGAATCTGATTTGCCATAATTGGTTTGTTACAAGGAGCGAAATTTATCCTTTTGTACTTTATATGGCGTGTGGGGAGATGATTTAAAAAAATCAAATTTTAGAAGAAAAAAATTTCATTTTGTTTTATTTGAAAATTATTATTTTTATAAATGTTATTACTGCTCCATAAATCCTAAAAAGCAGTCGGAACATTTAGGGCTTTGTCCTGATACGAACAGTCTTGTTCTTCCCACTTTCGATACGAAAGTAACGGAATATTTGTTCTCGGGGTGGGTTTTTTATTCTTCAGACAAATTTCGACTTTTTAACTAACCATTTTTGACGGAATTTTTTTTATCATTCAAGTGGTATTGTTGTCCTGAGCTTAAATTTGAAAAAATTTTACCTGTGGTCAGTTTTTGTAAAGTTATGAGGGATTAAAGATTGCCATTTTAGCCATTTTGACCAATTTGGGACAATTAACGCGCGATATAATTCGAGCTTTTAACGCGTAATCGGAGATTTAATCCGTCTTATAGATCGTTCCAAATTGGTTGAACGAAATTTTTTTTGCCATAATTGATTTGTTACAAGGAGCAAAAACTATCCTTTTGTTCCGACTTTCGATACGAAAGTAACGGAATATTTGTGCTTGAATATTTTTTAACTAGCCATTTTTGACGGAATTTTTCTTATATCATTCAAAAGGTATTGTTATCCTGAGCTCAAATTTGAAAAGATATTTCACCTATGGTCAATTTTTGTAAAGTTATGAGGGTTTAAAGATTGCCATTTTAGCCATTTTGACCAATTTGGGACAAATAACGCGCGATATAATTCGAACTTTTAACGCGTAATCGGAGATTTAATCCGTCTTATAGATCGTTGCAAATTGGTTGAACGAAACTTTTTCGCCATAATTGATTTGTTACAAGGAGTAAAAACTATCCTTTTGTTCCAACTTTCGATACGAAAGTAACGGAATATTTGTGCTCGGGGTGGGTTTTATTTACTTCAGACAAATTTCGACTTTTTAACTAGCCATTTTTGACAGAATATTTTTTATCATTCAAAAGGTATTGTGGTTCTGAGCTTATATTTGAAAAGTTATTTGACCTGTGATCAATTTTCGTAAAGTTATGGGGGTTTAAAAATTGCTATTTTGGCCATTTTGACCAATTTGGGACAATTAACGCGCGATATTTTTCGCGGTATTAACGGGTGAGCGGAGATTTATTCCGTCCTAGAAATCGTTCCAAGTTGGTTGAAAGAAGCTTATTAATTATAATTGATTTGATACAAGGAGCGAAATCTATTCTTTTAAAATTTATATGATGTGTGGGGGGATGATTTCATTAAAAAATTTAATTTTTAAAAATTTTTTTTCTTCATTTTTTTACATTTAATTTTTTTTGTTACTACTGCTCCATAAACCGTAAAAGGCAGTCGGAATATTCAGGGCTTTGCCCTGATACGAGCAGTCTTGTTTATATTGATGCTTGATTCGGTTTCCGACCAATTCACATTTTTAAGAAACGTCTGAGTATATCCCTTACTTTGACGTATCATATTTTCTACAACAGAGCGTTTTAACATTTCGTTGAAACTCGGCGAAGTCATCAGCATCTAATAGTTGGAATCCCAAAAATGAAATCTTTAGGCTCTTACCGCTAATCATCCAAGATTAACATTCAGCGGCACAGAATCACGGAATAGTCACGCAGATCCAGAATGTAGAAAGAAAGCTAGTTAAATCATTTGAACAGTCGATCCCGATACCAAATAAAAAGGACGGAAGGAAGATTCATAATCAAAACTTGCTTTTATTACTCAGGAACTTAGTTATTTCTTCGTCAAAAATCAGAGTTTTTCTAGTACGTGTGTGGCATAAAATATCTTTAACGGATAAAAAAAACAAATCATGTAGTGAAATAGGATGATTTACTTAGAAAAAAGGGCGAAGTAAGTTAGTCAACAACAGCTCAAATACTTCTAGATTGTTCTAGAATGTTGAAGATTGCCATTTCTCGTAGGGGGACGTAGAAAACGCTGAGAATGGCACTAAACGAGGCATGTTTTCCAATCTCATCGGTATGGCTGTCGGATGGAAATTGTCATCATTGATATGGCAATGAGGTAAAATTCCAAGTAATGCATTCACCATCGTGTGGCAGAAAATGGCCGAAAACTTGGCAGAAATGTCGCAGACTACAAAAGTCAACACAATGAAAAGTTAATCGACGAAGTCTACCTGTTATCCGAAACGGAAACACTTTTCACAATTTTATGGAACCAATTTTTTGAAAAGATAGACCTCTGAGGCGACGTCTCCAAATCAAACTTGACGAAGACGCGAAAAAAATTGCGTAGAACAAACACCCAGCAGAGGTTTTTCTAGAAGTGAGAATTAGCTCAAGGGATAAAAAACTCCTTCTCAATTTTGCACAATTGCATGGAGAAAAAGACAAAGCAAAGAAAGGCGGGGCGATCAAACTCCAGGACTAATGAATCATCTACAAGAAAAAATGAGAGCAAAA